TGACGCTTGTTTTATCAGTTTTTGAAAATTGTAAAGCATCAACTGTACCTATTCATGGTTGTTTTATAGCATTCAAGTAAGTATACAAAAAAAAAACGTATTAAAACATTTTGTTGTGAATGTTTGTGATTATTTTTAGTTTATTAGACAAAAGGTTCAGTCCTTAAGTGTATGCAGTATTTGGCATGTATTAACAGCAAAGTTTTTATCACCTTAGTTAAATCTGTTCTTATCTTTTAAAATGGAAAGTTATAAAGAAGTTTCTTTGTTAAAGTGTTGCATGAAGATCAACTTTGTGTGGTTTAATTCTCAAGCATAGTTTTGACATTAAATGTTAACGTTACAGAAGGTATTCATTGAATGGAAAGATCTACTGTAATTAAAGCTGTTAACGTAACTATTTGTGGTTTTAAGAACTCCTTCTTTTGCTGCAGGTATGGTCTTCCTGTGAATTTTCAGGCAATGCTTGTACGTCCTCATAAGAAGTCTGCGAAGAGGTTGAGAGAAGTATTGAACCAACTATATAGCCATCTGGACACTAGCATTGCACAAGGCCCTGTAGATGTAAGTTATTGTTAATTTAACACTCAGAAATTAGGTATTGGATGTTATTTATTTACTCTTTCATGACCAGGCATTTTGTATTTCCAGGAAATGGGGAAATCTGATAAAGTATTAAAAAAGAAACTGATTTAATTGATTTATTGTATATTGCAGAAAGGTGTCACAAACTATATATCATTGTATTGAGTATGAAAAACTTTATCAAATCATTAACTTACAAATCAAAATATGACACATGGCAACTAGAGGAATAACCGCTAACATCTTATGATACATGTCAGTGAAGTGCCAGAATGATCATGTACCTGTGTCACAGTGGTGATGTTAATGAGTGTCCTGAATATGTGGGTCAGTCCCATCAGGAGAGTTAGCCATAATACCCTGTGCATTTCATCCAGAGTTATTGGAATTGTTACCCCACAGCGTGGTGATGTTAATGAGTGTCCTGAATATGTGGGTCAGTCCCATCAGGAGAGTTAGCCATAATACCCTGTGCATTTCATCCAGAGTTATTGGGATTGTTACCCCACAGCCTTCTATTGAGTATGGTCTCTGGCTGAGATAGATTGTCATGTACTGATTAGCATATAAGTTTCTGTTCAGCCATTTAATCCATAAGTTATATAAAATACTTGAAAAACTGTATGGGCTTAGCTTTGTTTTATCTCAACCATAACACCTGGATAGAGCTGAGCGAGTAACTCGATTACCTTGGAACATCAGTTAAAGTCACAAAAATAATCACCTAATCAAATTGAGTGTTTCTGATTATTACTCTTTTTGATTATTCTAACTATTGTATTTATGATTTCTCATTATTTTTTGATTAATTCAAGTTTGTTCAGTGAAATTGATTAGCGTCATGAGTTAGGAAAATAATTGTTGAATCAACATTTTTGACAATTCAAAATAATACACTAATTTTATACCCAAGATAATCTTATTCTTCTTTATCTTTATAAGTGAAGTGTTGCAAATGATGTTAAACTGACTTATAACCACATGCAAATGATCATGCAGCAACCCTCCACCAATAGGAATGCAGCACTACCCCTATCGTAATTAGTGCCCTCTCTCATAATGTACCTGTTAATCATTTCTGGATTGGAAGCCTTACTGTACAGACGTGTATGTTTTCACTCGCGATTTAGTTATTACATCCAAGAGTTTTTACTATTTGTTTAGTGGAGAGTCGTGATCTACTTTCCGCTTTTCTAAGTTTTTATTTTTGACTTTGCGAGTTACGCACTAACAGTTTTAGGTGGACACAACTAGCACTGATGTTGCTGCTACAGTAGATTTGCCATGGGGGATAACACTGTTGTCAGCCATGGACATGAAGGCTATGTTCCATTGGAAATTCGATCATTTTTGGCAACTTTCTGTATAACCTGTGGAATAACATGTACAGGTGGATGCGACTTATGACAGTTTGCTTTTACCCTCCTGAATATGCTTTTCCATCATGTGTCATTTTGGGTGTCTTACCTAGGCCTCCTTCTAGTTCAGCTAATGACCACTAGGATGTAAGATACTGATTATTAACTTTATGAATACAAGTTATTATCTAACACGGTTGACGTTAATAGTTACGGTTTAAAGTACATTTCTCTATAGAGTACGATATTCCTAGCTTAAACTGTTTTATCTTTCTTTGATTCAGTTAAACTGTTCTGTAAATGATTGAGATATTTTCAGTTTATCATTTTTTAATTCAGAATATATAAGTTTATTTTTCCCATCGTGCAGGACATCCCTGGCTTGAACATGGGACAAGGAGAATATTACCCCTATGTTTTTTTCAAGATAAACATTAATGTGGCAGAAGGAACTGGTGTGAGACTTTAGAATTACTGTGGTTGATTATTATTCAAATAGTTTCAGCTTTAACTTTTGTTAAACTTTCCAGTCAGGTGGCAAAAGCTCATATAATGTAAACTTGTTTGTACATAGTCTGTGTGACGGCAATTCTGTTTGTTTTTCTGTTTTTCAAAACCAACAGAGAAAAATGTGTAAAATTTCATGCAGATTTTAAGGTGTATAGTATAAAGTTTTTTTCCATAGGTAATTCAGTTGTTATTGTTGCTGTATTAGATATGACAGAGTGAATTATCAAGAACTTTTGAAAGTACGGAATAAACCATACAAGTGAAGTGTTAACTTTAGTTAATAAACGCTGTTCCAAGTTTGTGTATTAAAGATTAGGCAAATTTCCTTAAAAATAACTCAATTTTTTTCCCCCCCAGAAATCTTATTCTTGAAAAAGAAATTAACTGTACAATTATGTTGCCAAAACATTTATTGTATAAAAAACATAAATTCTATTTACTTGATCTATTATAATATAGAAATGTGGTAATATTTAATCATGGATTTACTGGATGTTGCAATGTTTATGTATTTATGGAAGATTAAAAAATTTGATCGACAGACGTGTGTATAAACATGAAAAATAATTGGTAACAAAATTTTGTAGGCACAACTAGATATTATTTTTAATGTTTTTATTTCATTTCCACATTTTGTTTATAATGCAAATTGCAATAATGGTATTGTTTGGATAATTGTGTACCGTACGATACTTATGTAAATTTATCATTGTTGTAGGGAATGATTGAGATATGGTCTCATCAGATAATAAAATTCATTTCGATAATCGGGAACACAAGTATTTCTCGATCAGTGACGTTTACTAAAAACTATCGTACACATTTTTTTTCAGATGCTGTGATGAATTTAATTATCACTCATAACAACACAAGGTGACAATAATTGTGCATATTAAAATAACTATGTTTTATTGGTACTTGCTTAGCATAATGGAAACCGAAATATCCAGGCTGATCTCCACAAAGAATACCACGTGTTTCTTAAG